ATTGGTCAGCCGGTTAGCGCGGTCGATGCTAATAATAAAAACACACACACACGCACACATCGCCTGGGCAGCCGTGATGTATCTGATGTCTCAATCGTGGGCCGTTTGTTAGTTTCCTTTACCATCCGAATTCTGGGCGACTACCGTCCAACTAGTGCACTCTTAACTAGCCGAACGGCCTCTCGAACCGGTAGGCAAATATTTACTTTTTTTTACATGTGTCCAGCCCTTCTCGACCCGGCAGTACAGGCTAACTATCACCATCCTCCACGTGTGCGTATGAGCCCTTGCATACATCGCACGGGCAGGGCAGAAACGTCCTCTTTCTTTGCTTAGGGTTCCAGACTTTGTCCGACTCTGGACGCCGCAAGCTCTGGTCCTTTAAACATTTTTTGTCGGTTCAACGTTGGGCTGGGGCGCTGAACCTTTCGCCTTATGTCCACGGCGATTCCCAGGGTGTTCAGCAGGGTATGCACCCTTGTGGTGTCCGCATTCGGTGCAGGCCCTGAACTGCGGCAACGCCGCCCGCGCCGCCCCCGCCGCCCCCGCCCCAGGCCCAGCCAAGATCGGCGACCCCTCTACCGAGTTACCTCCTGCCCCGGAGCCCCCTACAACCACGTCATGCCCGTTGCCTGCTCCCGGAAAGACCTTGTAGCTTGGCAGAACTTTGCCAGTGACGAAGGGCGGCCTCCGCGGTGGCATCGGACACCACGTGACCGACCGCCACGCAGGCGGAATGGCTGGCGTTGTAGAGGCGCACCTGTAGTACGCGCAGAGGGCAAAAGAACGAGGGCAAGCATTGTTGCTTGGGTTTCAGCACAAATTTGGAACCTGCCATGATCTGTTGTTGTCGGTCCACATCGAAGTACGGCCGGTACCACAATGCGTAGGCGCTCACCTTCAAGCCGATAGCCGGGTCGAACGGTGAAGAAGGCACGGACGTGATCGGGTCCTTGTTCTTGTGGATGGCCTCGTACAAGAGTGCCGAGGCCACGGCGTCCCTGATGGCGTAGTCTCGCTGTTCATCGGAGAGTTGAGCGCTTCCCCGACGGGAGCATCGGACGGTATCCTTCGGCAGCTGCCTCCCCAGGAGGCACGCCGTCAAGCCGGCGAGTGTTCGAGACGATGTCACCACCAACTTGGAAACGGAAAGGACACGCAGGTCCACCGTGCTCGCCATTTGCACGCCATAGTCGTTGAGCATATGCGTGGCATCCGTGTTGATGGCAACACCAGCCTGCACAGAGGGAACATCGAGTCGCCGAGTCGGCGTTCAAATAGTATCACGAGGAAGACGCTCACAAGACGGATGCTAAAAGACGCCGTACCAACCTTTCAAGAGCAGTACTTGCATGGAACACAACATCTATCGCATTCAACCCTCACGCGCATGTGCTGTTGCTGTTGTCTCACCTTGATGATGCTGGGGTCCTCGAGAACAGCCTTCAGGGGAGCGGGAAATGTTTTCTTCGTAAAACCAGAGCTCCCTCTCTGCAGGAGGAAGAGGAACGACGGCCCCCTCAAAGCCGCAATCTGGAAGGTCGCTACAGGTTCCCGCCCACGAGTGAAAACTGCCACTCTGCGTCCGCTCCGCACATCATCTTTCCCTCCACCCGATTTTGGCTGATGCTTTGACGGAGGGAGCCGCGGGCAGCGGCTACCGCCTCCGGGTCGTACACGATGGCAGGGGTGAACTCTATATCCAGCTGTGGCAGGAGCTCCAACTGAACTCCGGCGTCCACGTCGTCTTCCAGATAAAGACTGATCCCCGTTTCCTCCTCAAACTCGCGAAATATGCGTTTCAGCGGTTGACGGTCATCACAGCAGTCATCTGAAAAAGTGAAGCGTCACGCAACGGGGCCGGAAAGGATTGAGGAGACAATACTGCAAAGTCACCGCGAAAACAGCAGGCCTGACACCGGTCTACAACCTCGAAAAGCGAAGCAAGTCTACAATCATTTCGCAAATTACCTGTGTTCCACAGAGTAGGAACCTTGAAGCCATTGCGAACGAATCGCATGAAAAAAAGCTTCAACTCCTCCGCCAGCTCGCTCAAGGCACCGGTCTTCATCGGACGCTGCCAGACCACCTTCAAATAAGAACACACATGTGTAACCACGAAATCTTTTTCGGGTCATCAGAATGAGCGCACCATACTACGAGAATAATTTTCCAGTGATTGCTCCAGAAAACATGGCACCAACACGAAGGGTTTGGGAATGGTTGAACGAAGCAGAGACAGGAGAATTTCTCACCTGCTCACATTCGTTGAAGACTGTGAAGAAGCCGTACACTGGTCTTGTGCGCTCCTCGCCCGCTTTTGCCCCGAGCCGGATGATCTTCGCAAACTTAAACGAAGCATCCCCACCCAGAATGTCTCCGTCCCAGCGCTGCATCAAGCGGTGCTGATACTCCTCCAGGGTCCAATCCACGCTATCCACCTCCAGCACGGGGAGTTTCGAAAAATACAACCGCCACACGTCCCGCAAATAGTGCTCCGACGGGACCGCACCGCCGTGCTTTGTCGAGTCATCAAAGCTGCCGAACCTCTCCGGAGTTTTGGCGAGGTTGGCCGAGCGGAAGATGCCCGAGCTGGTCCGCCGGGTGTTGACCAGAGAGGTGTACTTCAGCTGGTCCACCATGAACTTGGTCGTATGCGCCTGCAACAGCATTGCGAGGGCGACACGTTTTCGTTGTAGCACGGGTCGGCGCTTATGAGATTCGACGTTTCCCGCAGCAACGTTTGCGGTACCATCCGCAAATGTTTTGAACAGGCTAGGAAAGCCAAGACCAGACCAACCCGTTATCTTAAGACGCTGCAGATGAGACACTGCATATTCACCTGACGAATGTTCTTGGTACCAGCGGAGAAGCCCTTCCCATGCACCAAACCATCTGCAAGCCGGTCCAACATGCAAATCTCAATGCCCGATCGCTTGGTGAGAAGGAAAGGGAACTCCTTGGAGATGTACTCCGGGAGACGCCGGAGGCACCCAGCATCCCACGCGTTGAAGCTCGTCTTGCACTTTTCCGCCCTCTGCTTGCCTTTATTGAACTCCGCGCACTTCGCACACTTGTACCTGCACGTGCATGGGAAAAAACATACACCACAAGCAATATCGTCGGAAAACCACAACACGAACTCCAATCTACCAGAAACCCNACTTTTCCGCCCTCTGCTTGCCTTTATTGAACTCCGCGCACTTCGCACACTTGTACCTGCACGTGCATGGGAAAAAACATACACCACAAGCAATATCGTCGGAAAACCACAACACGAACTCCAATCTACCAGAAACCCAGAATTCGTCGGATGCCACGAAAACATGACTGATGAAGTTTATCGAGCGAACACTCTTCTTCGCATGCTGAACTTACCGAAACCCCATCACGTACGCCACGTCGTGCACCCGGCGTGGCCCCCTGGGGTTCCAGCCATCAGGTGCGCCCTTGCCCCCACATCCTGGACAAGGAACTGCCTGGAGCTCTGGGAACAAGAACTCCGGTATCCATACCAATACCGCCTTCTGATAAAACCGGTCGAGTTTCGGTAGGTCTGGGCGCGCGTAGATGTGAGGTAGATGTGTCAGAACATCAGGCACGCGAGACAAAAAAAATAGCCTACCGGGGGATGGGATGTATTTTCCCTGGACGATTTAATCTGAAAATAAAGATAGATGGGCAGCTATTTACCCCCCCCCAAAAAAAAAAAACTCCTCTGGCGTACCTGGTGATGGCTGAAAAGTGGCACATTTCGGACGCACGAGCGGGTTGTCACACGGGAGCCGGCCTTTCACACCACCTCCCTCGTGGGTGATACTCTGGTCGATCTTGTCCTTCACTTCTTCAAAGAAGCGTTCCTGCGCACTGGATGTTGAAGGATCATCATCGCCGGCCCCTCCACCGGCGGCTCCTCCAGCCCCACCTCCTCCTGCTCCACGACCTGGCGCTGCTGCCCCTCGCCCCCCTCCTCCACCTCCCCCACGGCCGCTCATCCCCCCTCCTCTACCTCCTCCACGGCCGCTCAGCCCCCCTCCTCGTCCTTGTTGGCGCGCTCCGCGGTCGTGACCTCCGCTTGCTGCTGGTCTCGCCGCTGCCGCCCACGCGGCGGCGGCTACTTCCGCTGCTGCTGCTGCGAGTTGTGCCGGTGTTGCTGCCCCTGTTTGTCTACATAAGCGGAGAGGGCCGAGAGACCTGCCGTGACCTACATGCGTTGAATATCGACAGCAGTACTATGTATGTGGGAATTCAAGCAGGTAGCCTACTTATGTACTACTCCTCATGTGCGGGCAGACAGAAGTCCTGCATGCATGCATGGACGACGTGAGCTCTGGCTACATGCAGTGTCTATCGCACCTTCGGATCTCCTCAATTGGCTAGCCTGCGGAGCTGCTCCAGGAGGTGGCGGAGCGATGCTTGGCGCTGGTGGGGCAGTGGTTGAAGCTGGAGGGGCGGTGCTTGGAGCTGCCGGGGCAGTGGTTGGAGCCGGAGGGGCGGTGCTTGGAGCTGGAGGGGCGGTACTTGTGGCTGGAAGGGCGGTGCTTGTAGCTGGCGGCCTCTGGTGCCGCTGATATTGCCGGTGCTGTTGATGCTGGTACTGACCCCTCACCTAT